ATATCGAGCATCCCTAGTTTTAACGGTTAAGAAGGAAAAACAAGCAGGTTTTTGTAAAAATATACTTTAAGCCGGGAAACACTACAATCACATTTAAAGTCTCTTTATAACCCATGAAGACATATCTTTTTCTCACGAGTTGGTGGAGACCAAAACAAGAATAAAAGAGTGAATATCGAACTGTATTTTTCAAGTGTCCAGAAGAGTGCTCATGATTTGTTGTGTCTGCCAAATGTGTAAGTAGAAAACTTCTTCCGAAAACAACTGAGAGTTTGAGAGTATTTCTGCCACCTAGTGGTCACAAACTGCTCAATGCAGCTTTAAATGCCTCATCTTATGATTGAGCCTTTGACCACTGCATCACTCAAAGAGTTTTAAACCAGTTGGTGACTAGTTTATGATGATTCTCTGCATCACATCTGGTTAGGATTAGACTTCAAGTGGGTTACGGTACCTTTTCTCCCATGAAGTGATGAATGAAGACATAATGAGCAATCTCACAGCTGTAAGCAAAGTTAATTCATACAGTTTTTAAACATCTACCTCTCACAGCAGCTTAGAATAGGTTGTGAAGTAATTATTTTTTATGTTTGTGTAATTGCATTTTCCCCTCCTTGTACACTGCTAAAGTACATAGTAGGACAGTGGGAAAGTTAAATTGTGTTTTGCATGTCCACTCTAGAAAACTATAAAAAATGGCATCATGAAGAAAGTGATATCACAATTGAAGGTTGTCATTTTTATGCACCGTGATCACTGAACAGCTACGCAATGATACACAAAGCAGTCATTCAAGACAGCTGGGAACTGGGAGTTATAGCCTGATGGATTTATATTCATTGTGCTGGACAAAATCCCTTCAGGTGTCTCCCAGATGTGTTCATAGTTTTAGGTCAACTGATAAGATAGCAGTGGTTTAGAGTAGGTAGAAGCTATAGAAAAAGCAATATGTAACACATTGGACATGCTTTTTTTGTAATATGATGTACTGTGAAAATCCATATCTCTTAAAGTAAATGAGTGTATGTCACATTGTATACCATGGAGCTGTGTGTTTTTTCTTTTAACGTACGTTTTTCCTTTTAACGTTCAATGCATGAACTAACAAGAGGTCTTGGAAGTTTCCTATTTTCCATGAATGCAACACTGACATCATTTTCTGTCTATAGATTTAAACTTTGCAGCTGTCACTTGTTTGTAGTGGGACTAGAAATGTTTGTAGAACAATGGAAATGAAATTGTGATATGAGTTCAACGGTGGAGCCTTCAAAATAACACATCATTTTGAACAGGTATGTGAACATTGGCCTATATGCAACTGATTAATTAGTGAATTTTGAATCTTTGTTTTAACAGGAAATGTTTGTATGACTTTCAGTACAGATAATGCCCAACAAATGATCTATTATGCACAGAACCATGTTTTCACGTTTTATACTAAGAAAAAAGAGCAAGAAAGGCACCATACATCAGTTTTTTACGCAAAAAACAGCAGATAGGAAAGGAAAGATGGTCTGTGACCTGGGTAACTGGCATCTAATGCTAAAGCGGGTTTTATGATGTCATCCACATTAGTGGTTTCCAAAATTGTTTATCAGATGTACCCACGCGCAGCCCTGATCAACTAAAGTAGCCCTTCATCAAAACCACCTATCATATTTCAAATTTGCTCATTTGAATTAATTTTAACATGAATGTTAATTTAATACTAATTATATAAAAATGTATAGTCTAATTGTTAACAATATTGTTTTATACAATGGAACTGTCAATGGTTAGGTTGTTAACATCACTTTTAAAAAATCTGTTTCAACTGTTTATGCATAACTTTTAACTATTACATCCATTTATCCATCACTCCTAGCTAACTGAACTTCTCTCTCTTGCTAACTAAATTTCACACAATTGCAACATGTAGTGTTACAGCTAACTCCATATATGACCTTTTTCCTTTTTTTAAAATCATATAATAATTTACATTTTTTCTAATCATTTCATTCAAGTCGGTTGGGAATCACAGAACTACACCTTTTAATGTGCACTAGTGTTTGTGGCTCTCTGCTTTGATGTGTGCGTGTCTGTAATGGAACATCAGTTAGTTTTCCTTTTTGTAGTGTGAGGCCAAATTGGCATGTAACCACAACACAGGGGAGCAAAACCTCATTGTAGAAAAATTAGCTGCGGTTAGCGCGCACACACACACACACACACACACGTACTGCTTATGAATAGCAACCTCATGCAACTTTAAACTTGTCCTTTTTGTCTGTCCTGTCTTCTGGTATGTGCACTATCTATAGTCCTAAAGATAATCTAGCTGAATTTTAAAGTCTGAAATCCAGAATGTTGTTAGAATCCGTTATAAGCCATCCACATCCTTTTCCACCCTTTACCCTCTATTAGCGAGTTGAACTGGCAGCAGTATTGGTATGTCTTTAGGTTAGGTAGACTGTTTAATTTAACAAAACACTGCAAGAATACAACATATGGAATCTGCAATAATTGTGTCCAATCACCAGCTGCTTACATGATGGTAGCAATAAGATCATGATCAACACCAGCTGTTCCACTGTGTGTGGTGGTGGATACATTCATGCCAATCAGCATCCTGAATGTAACATTATGGGGTCCACATTCCTGACATTTAACTGGGATTGAGCTAACGGCTCCATCCATATCACTAGTCCTACAACAGCTTTTGTTGAAATGTGTTAGCCTCAAATTGAAACCACAAAGCAGCCTTTGGCTGGATCTTTTGAGCTGAATGCAGATTGAGAACAGCCCTCAGTTCAGTTAACTGCTCTCCAAGAAAAAGCTGCCGTGCTCTGATGATGATGTAATAACCCACAACTTAGTCAAATCCGGATGTGCAGTAGATTTTAATATTCTATATTCATCAGTCCGATCTGTCTGCCTGATCTGAGCGTGTGCGTATAACTGCGTGCATTTCTAAAGAGGATTATTGAAGTTAAAGGTTTCACTATAGTCTATAGTCTGGTAATTTGACAAACCCCCCCTCTCAGGAATCCAGAGGACATAAACATTTGGCTTCTCACAGTCCGAACATACGCTGATGGCGGGTCACACTGCAGCATGTTGGGAAACACAAACTTGCTTTTTATATGAAGGTAAAAAAAAAGCTACAAGTAGGAACAGATGGTAGAAAAGTCAGAGTAGAGACACAGAGGTGAATGGATATTTTAAGCATGGGAGGACAGAGGAGGGTGAGGTGAAGCCTGTTTTGGGGAGTCCCACTGGTTCTCCCCTAACTAGGGTAGACCTGAACAAGAGCTGGGAAAGAAAGGTTGGAGAGAGGGAACAGAAAAAGTACAGTATTAAATGTATTTATAGAGAGAGAGAGAGAGAGGAACCAGAGGGAGGCGAGAATAGCACTAAAATGTCCTTTTTCTAATCACCATGCAAGCTCTGAACTGTTCCAGGAAGAGAGCCGTTGAATTGTGAACATAAGTATAAGTATTATTCCAGCTCTGTGGGAAGACACATGCAGGTTTTTATTTATTTCAGAAATGTGGAAAAGAAAGATTAGTGCAGACATTTTGATTTGTCAAAACAGGAAAAGCACAGTTGTAAAGAATAGTTTTAACAATGGCTTCATTCCAGCTGTGTCAGTGAGTGATCATGCTCAATGATCCAGATCCAGCCCTGGAACTAGATCACCTAAGTGGACTGGTACCATCAGTAAAAGTATTAATTCCACCCAGGCTTTTACTGTTTTGGCAAATCAAAATATTTTCTGTGAAAAGGGTCTGTATTAGGGATCTGTATCTAGCTGCTAAATTATCTGTATCAATATTTGGAACGGGCGACGCTTAGACCAAAAGTGGGCGGGACTAG